CAATGTCCACCCCTGCTGATTATTAGAGAAAAGCACAACTGTTTCAGCCTGCGTACGCGCATTGGGTATCAATGTAATTCCTAACCCTAGGAGTTGAAAATGGAAAAAGTCATTATTACTAAACGACACGAGTCGGTGCGGTCATGACGAGACGCTCCATTATAATTTATTAACAGCATTCCTCCAGAGAGTGTTCATTGTACAMAAACATGAACCTATGCTAGCACTAGAATGATACATTATAACGAAGCTAAACACTAAGTAACTAAGTCTATGACTATATTGTTTATAGGTAAAGCACCGTTTCCACCTCTTGGTAAGTGAACAAATAACTGGAATAACATTTGTCCTAGTGTCTTATCGCATAATTATGTCACGCGGAAAGACCATAGAATCATATGGCCCCTTGAGAGGAACAGAATGACTTCATATCAAAGAAAATGTACAATCATTAATACACAATATATTTTAAAAATATATTAAAATTAAAGCTCTGCTGTATCTGAGCAACTATCCTTGTCTGTATCGAGCAAAGGGGGGCCGAAAACATCGCTCTTTGACATCCATTAAGAAAATGGTGAAAACTCAAGTTCAAAGGTTTAAACCGTTGTATTGTTGATAACTGAATAGACCTAAAAAAGTGAATTTCCTTTCTTTCACTTTAACAAGGACAAGTGTACATTGCTAAAGAACACTGATTGACAATGTGAAGTACTACGTAACCAGCATCTCCAGACGATTTTGATTTTGATAACGCCTCATTTTTACTTGCGCGCCTTGACTTTTTGAAAGCGCTATCATGTATTATTGCAGCGGTAATCGTTCTCAGCCAATCAGTGCGCAAGACRTAGTAAACTGTAATGATAATCATTGACAAACGTAAAGGATAGTCAAGCTAGTCAAGCAATCGTTTACTRATTCAGATTGCAAGGACGAGCGAGATGATTGTAGTTGGATAACTGATAACAACCCTGATGCTGATGAATTGGCCAGGTATTGCATAGAATACAGAGACGACAATGCAGTCAAACAGTGTAAAAAGACTTGTGGATTGTGTGAGTATTCAAGAATATTTGAAATAATATTTTTTACCACAGTTGTGTGAATTTGCGTGCGAGTGTGTAGGACCTTCATACTGTACTGACACCACCACTTCTCGTGTGGAAAGGAATTATTTTTTACAAATATTTAACTAAAAGACGTAAAAAACTACGCGGTAATTTCGTTGTATGAATAATTTTTGGCACTTGTAGTCATAAAGTAACTTTAATGTACTGAAAACCTTAAAGTATTTTAATGTCAAGAGTGTGCCAATTTTTATCAGTATTTGCACCTATCCTCTCTCACTTTTAGTTAATATGAATACTCGGAGTTGTTCAATGGTCTGAACCCATGTGTAAGCKATGTAGGTGTGGTATGATTGTCCGGGTGTGAGAAGTCTTGATGAAGACTGTTATAGTTTCCGTTTCGACATCCTGCGTGGAAGTCATCTTCCTGCCTCATTTTAATCACCTCTTAAAAGATCCTAAAATTTCCATACCCTTTTCCAACATCTACAGTGTAGCGGTTAACATGTATTTTTACTGGCCGCGCCAACTGGAATCGGTCTAGGAATAAGACTAGGCACTTGTCACAATTTAACTGAAACGGTTTATTCGAAGACTTGATCGATGTTGAGACGAACGTAAACTAGAATTACAATTGTGGCAAAAACTCTAATCAGATAAAAATATGTAACTAGCATGGCATAAAAATAGCAATCAATACTTTACAAATTCAATGATAYAATAATGCAATAACACATAAAACAATACTAGATCATGCAATATGTTAAATTGKRGTGATRAAADCTRGTTCTAGGACTGATTGAGAGCTAAACGCTCTATTAACAAAACTTAAGTGGGCGTTAACTACATAAAGACGACCCCGTAGGTCTTTTCATAATCTTGAAATAATTCAAAAGATCTAATAACCCACACTTAGTACGATGATCCTTGATCTTAATAGTGAAATAAAAGGTTACTTACATATCTGTCCCGCTTGTAYCAATATCACAGACACTCTTTATTGCTAAAATCTTCTTACAACTAATCAAATGACGCTTAATCACGCTTTTATATGCGCGTGGGGACGCTAAAGTATACTATTACATATTATAAAGGTACATGAAGGTATGTTAGTGGGTGCTACCCTGTTTTTGGTTGGCTTTTGCTTCTTTTATTCTTTCGTCCTCTACAACTTCTACTCTCTCGTTGCTAAATTATGCTCTGCTTATATGTGCTATCATCAGAYRGTATTTGGGYTGATGTGTCCATTAAAAGATTTAACCACTTAGAATTTGAAGCCAATTCAGTCCTTTTATGGAAATGAAGTGTTCTATAATGTTTTAGTTTGGGCTGGTTTTAGACACCTCGTCAGGGGTGTTTCCTGGCTGATGGTACCCCATATATCAGATCTGTATAGTCTGGCCTTGGCCTTGCTTAATCCACTTGACCAAGCCCAGGCTATACMTTACCAAGGTCCAAAGTTCTAACTAAGTTGGCCTTGGCGTTTGCTAACTATTTCAAAATATATATGGTTACATTGTTCTAGAACGTTCTTTCAAAAATTCATTAATTATTCATGAGGTATCCAGCCAATCCCTGTTTGTAATTTGTACCACGTGAAGTAACTTGAAACCAGAGGAAGTACTCGTACCTTGTATTCTACCTTATTTCCAGTTACTTCTACCTTTTTCAAGTTACTTCTACATTATTTCCAGTTACTTCTACCTTATTTCCAGTTACTTCTACCATGTTTCCAACTACTACTAGCTAATGATAATCAAATTATTGGAAATAATCAGTTTAACATTAATTTAGTGAAAAAAGGTCTTTGATACATGACTCCCTCACGACTCGATCCCCTACCGTCCAGTCTATATGCGCCGTCTTATACCATTACGCCACCGAGTTTCTGATGCGATTCCTCGGAAGATAACATACTTATAAATCTTATGGATTAGACTCATTAGGAATGCCATGAATAGCAGACAAAGACAATTTGAATAGCTTTTGTTTCAGAAAGCCGTCCGGGAATTGAAGAACAACAAACGGTGCTTCATGCATTCAAAATTATGAAAACTGAAAACCTTAGTGGAGATGCAATAAATAAATATATTTCTGTTATATGTATTTCCTTCGTTTTTTTTTCCCTCCCGAATAATTAATGAGTTTTTGAAGTCGTTCAAAGGCCTCCAATTCGGACTTGACGGGATTTCAAAGTCCTTGCAATTAGTTCCAGTCCTCGGCTAGCGCCTCGGACTGGAACTAATTGCKCGGACTTTGAAACCCCGTCAAGTCCTCATTGTCGGCCTTTAAACATTACATAAAGTATTACTAATTATGTCGGCCTAGTGCCGCATAACAGGTATCTAAACCGCAAAATTGTAACTAAGGAGACTATCTAAATCTAATCTATAAATCAACAATGTTCTGTAATTAATTAAATTAACTGCATATCCTTTACATACAGATTATTCCGATATTTTATGCTAATATATAATGGTTATAGGTGGAAAGGCTCCATCACCAACAAATCTTCCGCCGACCAAGAAACCACAACCAGTGAAGACACCAAAACCTCAGCCAAAGGAAACTCCTAACCCCAAACCTACAAACTCCCCAGGTCTGTTACACTGCTATGTAAACCCCTTCTAAATCTTTTATACACAGACCTAGCTAGCCATAAAAAACTGTGATATATTATTTTGTACAATAGGAGCTCTATTGCAATGTGTAAAAAAGACAATCAAAATTTTATGTGCAGCTAAGGCTTAGCCTTTGTAGAAATTGTTCTCTCGAGTTGAGACTCGCATCAGTGATAGGGTATATCCAACTGTCTTAAACGTCCACTATTTCTCTTGTGGCACTGATAAATTTAGATTTTTTTGGATTTGTCTAAGATGTAATAAATCACTGTTACTGAGCTTCAAACAGAATCAAAACTCTGTGGACACTTTATATCAAACTAACAATCTTCAATCTTTCTTCGAATTTTAGTAACTGGGCAAATCACTGGATTCCAAAAGGAGTGTCTTGTGGCTCACAACAAATTACGTGCACTGCACTTGAGTACCCCTCCACTGCGATGGTCCGCTGAACTCACCTTGGAAGCGCAAAGATGGGCAAACAAACTTGCCGATGAAAACTCTTTCAATCACGACAAAACACTGAAAGACAAAGGTCAAGGAGAAAACTTAGCTTGGTTTTCCCCAGCAAACCGTATGTGTAATGGTCCATCAGACGTTCACTGTGTACATTGTGGAGAATTTGTACAGGTAGCACTCTTCATGTTATGGTGTGATAATAGATAATTTGTCTGATTTTTCAGCGGTAGGATTTTTACCCTTGTGACCACTTCTCCAATTTTATGTCTATAGATTGGCACTGTTGAGAATTCTCCAATGATTTAATCCTTTTTGCAAACTTCCAAGAAACTTCTGCTGCACAAAAATCTCATCAAAAACAAACAAAATGATGTCACTAAGATGCACTAATAATTGATTTGTATTCTCTGATGCTGACTTTGAAAGCCTCTATGATTTTGAATCTCTCAAAAGTATACATGCATATGGTTATCGATGCACTGTAGCATAACTATCGTTAGCTATAAGCGTTACAATCACGGTATCCCTATGTAATGTGTCTTTGTCATGTTGCATTGTTGACCGGTGGACACGCGGTCCACACAATTTCTCGACGAGGAAGGTCGAATGAAGTTACTCTACTTCTAYGTCTAGTCTAGTTTTGCCTTTCTCCGTTCGAGGATAGGACCCAAAGGCTCGGGCACTCGCCCAAATTGGCTCTGAGCAGCAATATGCACTGTACGTCTATTTKAGGTTCATTTGTTTTAGACGCTTTGTTTTTTCGTCTTCAGGACTGGTATAATGAGATAGATGACTACAATTACGCCACAGCAACAGGTAAAGAACCCTGGTCTGTCTACTTACACTTTACACAGGTCGTGTGGAAAGGTACAACTGAAGTTGGAATGGCTACCGCTACAAAACACGACCGTGTTGTTGCTGTGGCAAGATACAGGCAGGCTGGCAACCAAGGCTCAACAGAAGTATTCAAAGAAAATGTACAACCACTACAGTAAGTATATAAATATTACGCACACAGGTTTTAAAACGTTTACAATATAGTTGACTAATGACATCCACTTATGACTTATGCATAAGTGCATCACCGCACGGTGTTGATAAACGAAGTAGAGAACATTTAGAATGATTATCTATCTATCCCGGCCAAATAGAGAGCAAGTGTTGTGTCTGAATTCCAGGTCAACCACATGGCCACATAGACAGTCATTATTGAAAAGTTTTATAAATATTATATGATTTTTTTCAGCCCTTAACCAAGCAGTGATGCCATTCCAACCAAGAACTAYATCATAAAAGGGACTTGGCATTCCATGTCCACGTAATTATTTTGGTGGTTTTCATTAGCCTTCGAGCCAAACTTCATAGCTCTTAATATTACGCTTTATTACACATTATTAAGCTTTGGTTACTTACACTTTTTTTGCGAGTGTTGACTTATACACACTCTAGATAGGTTACGCATTATTCAAGGGTTATTTAATAAACTACGTCTTTGCGGCTATTTGTCTATTTTTTTCTTTTCTAACCGAAGCTCAAGGCATTTCAAGTCATTGCATATGAATTGTCTCCTTAATTCGRAACTTGTATTAGTTTAGTTAACAGMGGYCACGGAAGCTAATAACGATTTCGTTGCCAAAAAGACTAATATCTCAATTAAGTAATCTTGCCTTCTTCCCAGTCCCCAGGCTGCTCTATTGTTCAACATAATGATGTCATTTCCATTTGTATCTTCCCTGACAAGCTTGGCCAAATCCTAACTTAACTGGGTGATTGATTTGCGACCAGGCCTGCATATAAATTCGCCAAGGTTGTAAGCCAGTGAGCCCGTGCATTTTTGTTAAGCGGTCATATTTGAAAGTGTAAATAAAGGAAAGGGAAAACCCGCAGCTCTCAGTTCACTCAGACAAACAGTACAAGTCGTGTTAAATTTTTTTACAAAACTAAACAAAATGATTATAGAATTAAACCTTTAAGAATTGAATGCTCATATCAAACATTTTCCACCTTAAATACACACGTGTTTTTCAGAAGGGAATTTAGTCGAACTTTTTTCACGATGGAATTTTGTTTTGARTCGTTTCAACATAAACAGTCGCTATCAAGACATTACACGAAAAACCCTAGTCACCGTTCTAGCTCTCGTTGTAAGGTCAAAGCTAGTAAATATGYAACCRACCTGTTACATAACGTCAACCTGTTGCATCGTCGAGCATGCTTGCGGCTTATTGCCAAAAATGCGACAAAGGATGAACTACGACAGTTGTCACTACCAAAAATAACAAACACTTTAACTCTATTGGAATACGTGGAGCTAAGCTGCTCTAGCTCTTTCAGTGATGTTGTCGGATACCTCAAAGCTTAGAGGAAACAAGAGCTAAGAAAAAGGATTTGCAATGGTTCCTCCTAAGTTACTTTGGACTTGAACGTCGCTTCAACGACCTTCTGAAGTCTTCGTGAAGTCGGCCATTGCTTCGCATGCAATGGAGAACCCGCGTAGAACACAGACCAATTATTTTTGTCAGGGAGGGGAGTCTCTTGATATTAAAGAAAAAATTACTTATTTCATTTTTAAGATAAAATTCTATTTCTATAACGATAAATATTTGATTGACATTTAATAAAAGCTATTTTATAAAGATTTGCAAWTTCTCTTTGSGTTTTAGCTTTGATTTTTCGGATAGAATAAAATGGCAGGCAGCCTACTCCACTGGGTCGAGTTTTGCTGTGCAAATTCCTCCCGTCGGGGGGTTATGTTTACAACATAAGCTTGTCAGCTTTGCGCTGATTGGCTAGTCGCATTTTCTCAAATCACCCAGAAGGAAATAATAAGAATCAAGTGGCCAGTGGAATTAGTTCAGGCTTGGTCTCCTTTCGACCTCTTCAGAGCCGACAAAGATAGAGAGCCTAACTTATAGCGATCTATATCTCTATATCTATGTGGAAATCCACGAGAGGTTACAAAGAAAGACGATATGGAACGCTATGTGCATCTTGATCACGGTCAGTCGATGTTTTAAAAGTAACTAAATTGATTTGATAAACTAAGTACTGCGAACACGGAAAGGTTCGAATTTTAACATTAAAAAACAAACTTCAATATAACCTTGCGCCTGCAGTCAGGGGTGAATCAAGTCAGTGGTCCATTCTTAAAAAATCCTTCTACCTCCTACTAGCAGGCATCATTGAACCGAGGAGGCCTGGTTCAACTTGTTCCGATTGGAAGAGAGCGCGGTTGAAGGGTGGGTCAGCATTGAACAGTAGTCTTTATTTAAGCTCTCAAGTTTCTGAAGTTTGAATGCGCACTTAATCTATCATTAACACTCGATCAGTGAAACACTTTCTTCGAGCATGAAAATGTTTGTAAAACTTTTTGCATTTTGCACATTGTATTGTATTGTGTTGCAGCATGAAGCATCTGGAAGCCCAGTCAACCAGCTCCTTGGTTTAGGTAAGGAAAGTAGTRTTGTTACCTTCAGAGAAGCATCGCCAAAATATATCCATTTGGCTATTTTAATTTTCAGACTCAAGACATTTAGGATTTAATTTTGTTGGAAATTTAAATACATTATTTTATTATSCAAGAGCTCAATGGTTTTAGAATCGCTCAGGGTACGGGCTAGATGTGTTTACGTCCATAGAGTTTGCACAAAGCAAAGCATGTAAACATTGATAAAGTTGTGCSAAGTCGAAACTACTACACTGATTTTAATCTTGTAATTTCAAAGAATATCATAAAAATCATTGATATTTTAATGGGATGAATGAGATGAAACAAATGATTGCAATTTCAATACTTTTTAGACCTGCTTTACATCAAATGATAATTAATTGAACAATACCTTTSTAAAGTTGATTTGTAGTTAAAGCAAACAACGTTTATTTTCAGCTCCATGTTTTTGAAGCGGGCTGGAAGAGAACATTGCTTTTAGATTATAATAAATGTGAACGAAGTACATTTGGTGAGCACTTTTAAATCCGATATAAAAATGAATGGCGTTTCAAAATGTATATCACGGATCAGTATCGATATCACCTTAGAAACTCAAATGGACATTAACTATGTTTGATTTTTAAAATCTGATTTTGAAATATTTGCGAAAGAATTGCTGGTTGATGGAGTAACCAATTTCAAAAAAACTTTTATTTTTCTTTGGAAAGCCAAAAGCCCTACGACTATTGAGTAGAACAGCAGACTGGAATCTTTGCGCGCCAAAAAGTCATTAATTTTATGCAGTAGTTCTTCTGAACGGCATACGTTTAATTCAGCTTTTAAGAGGTTGTTTGATTTATACAGTACACAGAGCAAAATGCTTAAGTAAAGTTTACTTTAAATGTTTGCATAGTTTTAGTAAGCATGAAAATGCCGTTGATACCAACAGCAATTGGTCACGGAAAACCACTCTAACAAACACTCCGGGAGTGTTTGTTARAGTAGTTTTCCGTCAACCATGAAAAAATATAAGTCTAATAGTTAGTATTAGTTTGTAATAGACCAATACTAATAATCTAGGTTGAATGCGATTGATAGGTATAAACATATTCATCACAAAAACAAGTTTTTTTTTTATTTTAAATTTTAATCGTTATTTTCGTTATGGTAACTAATTAAACAAAACGTTTAATTTATTCAAACTAGTCTGTTGTTTGTTAGCTGTTCGTTTATAGCAGAAACCTATAAGAGACTTGAAACGTGTAACGTCCATACATTTCTTTAGTGCCAAGCGTTGGAATATTCAAAGCTCATTAAAAATTCGAAARCGAACGTTATGACCATATTTGGAAAATTCGGCCGTTGGATAAGGAGATTTAAGGCCCGTTCTGGTTCTGGTTGGCTATATAGGGTAAATTTAATTGTTCCAAATAAGGTCAAATAAGGCAAATTAGATTTGAATATTCCAACGGTTGGCACGTCGTTACACGTTTCAAGTCCCTTATAGGTTTCTGTTTATAGTTTATATGTCTAAAAGTTATATTGACTAGTCTAGTACTCATTGCAACTAACTAGTTGGTCTATGATGTAGAATCAATAAGCTATATTTTTGCAGATGATGTCGTACATGATGACAAGCAATGTAAAGATCTACGAGACGACTGCAGTAATATACCAGCAAAAGGAGAAGAACTGATGAAATACTGTGAAGTATGGAAAGACGATGTAGCAGTTCAGGAATGCCCGAAGACTTGTGGAAGATGTAAGTATTTGGGTTCCCTGTGGTGTGGCAATTTGGCTGGATTAGCCTTTGTAGCTGCTCTAACTCCCCTGGACCCTATATAAGCAGCAGGCTGGTAGATGCCAATCACCCACTCCCTGAGATGTGTTGGAAAATTAATGCAGAGTTATTTAAACATGTAGCATGGTTTCTGGTGTAAATTCTACACTACACGAACGACCATATGATTGTATCACAACGATGCGTTCACTAAAAACTTACAGAACAAAACGCAACTTAATTATCTAGTCCAATTGTTAAATTGGATTTTAAAGATCTAAAACATTCAAAGTTTTAACTAGCATTTAATTAGTATTAATCAAGAGAGTCCACTGAAATGATAATGGTTGTTAAATAAAATAAATTTTACACCGTAAAAAGTATGAAAAATAATTTACTGACGTTACGTTTCGTCGAATTTAGTCGTTCGTCGGCGTCGAATGATAGTGGTTAYGACACGGATATAGCAGTATTTAGGGAATTGTTCAATCTATATTTACTTTGCCTTTAATTAAAACCTTGTTTTCTGTTGTGTTTAGGTAAAGCTCCGTCCCCACCTGGTAAGTGCTTAACTGCCAATTATATCATGTCATTCATGCAAGTGAGATATCAGTATTTACAGTGACATCACTCGGCATAGAGTGGTCTTCATAATCCAACAAGATATACTCTAGCGCACTGCACTTTATTTAATATAAAACGCCGCGCGTGTCTCTTCCCTCTGATAAAAACACGGCCGTCAGCCAATCAGATCGGGATGCGCGATATATGTCAAAAATTTTACAAAACAATCGTTCACTCACTGAAACGAGGCATTTTCGGTCAAGAACGTGAATATGCGCGCGCTTTTTCACTTGTGACATATCGAAAAAGCGCGCRTTTAGCCGTGGTGTTTGCAAGAAAATGAAAGAACCTTCCACGTGCTTGTGAWATTGTTGAAATGTTGCCGTGGAAATCATAATGACAGAAGAGTTAATAAACAATTTACAAAGTTTCTATTTTCGGAGGAGWAAAAAGTGATCGCAAGAAAAGCCGAGCCTTTTACTTGTTTTTCGATTTGTATGTTTACATTCTTGCCCGAAAATACCTTATTTCAGTGCAAATCCGCGATACTTCGCACAGCATCCATCGGAACCCGGAAATCCTCTATTACTTTTCAATACATAAGCGTTTAACCAGTTGTCTAAACTGTTTTCAATTATTCAAATAATTATATACTGCTTTAGTTGGATGCCAGGACGAAGAGGATGATTGTCATTGGATAACTGATATGCATCCAAACGTTGATGACTTGGCCGAGTACTGTTCTGGACATAGAAATGACATAGCCGTTAAGCAGTGCAAAAAGACTTGTCAATTATGTGAGTAGAGATAGACATGCAAGACACGAATATTTTTTTTCTTGAAATATAGGTATCCGACTGCGCTAAAATAGTTGCGGAGATCTCAAATCGCGCGTATATTCCGACGATAGCTGACAGGTTTATCGTTACAAATGTTCCTGAAACCTGTCTGGGAAATCACCGTGAATGTGTAGACTGTTTACACGTACGCTTAATCTTACCACAAAAATCACAGCTGTAGTGTAAAATGGACTTACACCCGATTTCAAATGAGTGCGAACTCTCGAATTTTTTTTGAACGCTAAACTTTCACTCGACCGTCATTCACTCGACCGCTTGGTAACCAGGCACACGTGTTTTGTAAGTGATGCGTGACTTTCTGTAACGGGATTTTCGCATTTAGAATTATGGAGKAAGAAGCGGTGGTCTTTGTTCGAGATATCTGTGGTCCTTGTGTTTCACAGAACATTCTACTTCACTCAATGCAATTGAGAACAATTAGAAGAATATCAAATAAACTTGATTAAAAAATATAATTTTCTATCTGGTTTGTAGTTTAAATTTGGCTTTATTAACTTGTAAACATCAAATAATACTTTGCACATGAACTTGAGGGTGTTGTTTTCTGCATCTTGAAAAGATATTCTTATGTGGAACCAAAATACACATTTTTTTCTTTTCTTTCGTTATGTAAACAATTTAAGTTTACAATAAGAAAATTATCAAGCAAGCGAAAAAATAATTGCAACACTGTTGTTTAAATTAAAGGTTGAAAGCGAAGTAACTTATGTTTAAATGTAACCTTCTTTCGAAGAAGTAAATATATTCTTATTCGTATTACTGTAAAAACCCTGATTGATTGAATGCAAGTTTACAATGACACTTACATGTGAGAAGTCGAGGCCTTCCACGCCGTGTATATACAGCAACATTTCCTGTACGTTTATAAAGTTGTCGAATTTTACAAACAAAAGTTTTCCCTACAAATAACGCTCTACAAGTTTCCTTAATGCTTGAACCGTAAATAAGCTCATGGTAAATAACCTCCACCGAATATCGGCCGATAACCTCTTCATTTTAATCAGTAAACTAGTAAAATCAACAAAGAATAGCCTACGAACACTAAAAGCGATTTAAAGTGCGCGCGCTTGTCAGTGTTTATCACGCTATTTATTTTTCAACTGTTTCGTTGTAATTGTGAGCTGAGAAAGTTAAGTTAAACCGAAACTAGTTTTTACAATAAGTTCGTTTTGTAGTGCGATCAYAAACCGTAGGAATTTAGCCCACAGACATACATTAACSRTGGTTTTTATACTTGGATAATTTTACCCGCTTCAACCTGGCCAGGTTACCAAGTGGTCGAGTGAATGACGGTCGAGTGAAAGTTTAGCGTCCGAAAATAATTCGAGAGTTCGCACTCATTTGAAATCGGGTGTAACTAAGTGTGCACAATTCCTTATTGTTTTTAGGTAACGCCCCGTTTCCACCTGCTGGTAAGTCAACTATTTAATGCATAAGAAGAAAAAACGTTTTTGGGTTTTTAAACCAATAGCCTGAAGTGATGTCCCTTTTACAATAATTAGCTCTTCGAACATTGAGTAGTTTTCAAAGAACTATACTGTGTTCCTTTGCTATTGTTGATTATAAGACTATCTAAAAGAGAATTCTCTAAATTTGTCATGTCAAAGCTAAATGTAAATTGTCATAGACTGCGCGTTGGCATCAGCATGTAGTTATAACATTGATAACAGCTCTCAGTCAATCAGCTCGCAAGGGAAACCTAGTCATGGTAATGTATGATCAGCAATTGTGACTAAAAAATACATTTACTGATTCAGATTGCAAGGACGAGCGAGATGATTGTAGTTGGATAACTGATAACAACCCTGATGCTGATGACTTGGCCAAGTATTGCATAGAATACAGAGACGACGATGCAGTCAAACAGTGTAAAAAGACTTGTGGATTGTGTGAGTATTCTGGAAAAGCACGTCACGGTCGCATCTCCTAATCAAATCAAAATATGTATTATATTTGTATCAAGTACTTGATGTCTATAGCCCTTATAAGATATTCACAAAGTGCAAAAACGTACTTAATTCCCCTTTAAAAGATCCTAAATATCTCATGCTTTATAATTTTAGGTTGAAGCGATCAAAAAACAACAACCACAACAAACTTTGATGGCCATATTAGATGAAATCACGGACATTTTGCTTCCGGTCAGCGGTCGTTGTAGGTGGCAGTGGCAGTGGCTAGTAAAAAATATTTAAAATGTATCCACATTATAACCAGATAATAAAGAGGTTTCTACTATGCGATAAAAAAACACCTCAGTTTACGGGTTTGGATTCCCTGTGTTATAATGTAGTTGGCAAACAGATGTCGATTGTTTCAACTGAATGTATATATTTTGAGAAAGGAAAACATTATCTCTTACTTTAGCTATTCTTCTAATCAAATTAATCGCTCTCAAATTGATAAGTTGGAAATAATATTAAGAGCAAAGGGTTTATTTTGTTTATGTTTTGAATTTTGATGGTTAATCAAAGAACGACCTCGTATGCCCAACACTAATATACAGAATGAAACATATCCTTAACCGAACTTTAGAGTTTTCAGAGCTAAATTTTTTATCAAAATCGCGTAGTCTCCATTTTTTTTACATGGAAAAAAGCCATAGTGAATTTGTGTTTTGCGACTCAACTGTTTTTATTTTGTGCTTGTTTTGTGAAGCGATAGTTTCTTGTTTTTTTACTTTAGTTTTTTTTTCTATTGTATTGAATTCAAAATGATGTCAGAAATTTTAATTTCTGKATTCTTCTGGTTCTCATATGAACATCTTCAAGTCTGAAATATTTTCTGAAAGAAATAATTTAAAATTTTCATCATTAGCCCTTTCGAAGTGCTTTTTTCCATTATCCTGAAATGCTATTTAGCACAATTAGACGTCAAGCAACTGATAATCATTGATCTATTCCAATAGTGACACTGCATGTGATTTGTTTTGGCAAAAATTATTGGATAATTTTCAACGTTCTAGTTTTAATACTTAATAGATATACGTAATTTACAAGTTCAGATGGTATTATGATAACTTTAGTGTTAGTTTCGTCGCCATTGAAATTGCGTTTAACCCTTCACCGCTCCGCTTTARGGATTATAGGTCGCCCGCGACCTATGTTTCTAAAAGCTTGCAAGTTTCCGAGATTGCAAATTAAAACCACCAAATGTACCACATAACAACAGCTAGTAATGAAACTTTATCTTACAGTTGAAAACATTTAACTTCTAGCAGAATATCTGGGCAAAAATGACCTAAATTTCGACTTTGTGGCGCACTGGAAAGGGTAAGAATCACGTCTCTTCGTGTTAAGTTTTAGAGTCAAAATCGTGCTTTGCAAATCGAAACTCCCCGTKTTTTTGAAGTTTGYCACACTTCATCTTTAGCATTKTTGAGTTTTTGTTGTGTGAAAGTCTCTAAAGATCTAGCCACACCGGTTTCTCACTTGCGCGTCCGAATWGAATCATGGGAGCGTGGTTCAAACTCGACAGGGAGCAACCAACAATCCTATTTTCATAGATTTTTTAAGTGTCAAGCCACTCGCACCTACCGGCAAAATATTGCACCGATTGCAGTCTTTGGATGTTATACTTGCCAATTTTACCTTGGTAGGTTCTGAAATCTGCCACAGAACGACTAGGGATAGAAGGAGGCGACAGGTTCCTGGAAATATATCTGTTCTTATGTCCCAGACAGCTGGGACATAAAAAAAGGGGAAAAAAATTAAGAAAGAAGTACGATGGCCGAGAAGGGCCTTCTGATTTCCGACTTCCGACTTCCGATTTCGGACTTCTGATTTCGGACTTCTGATTTCCGACTTCTGATTTCCGATTTCGGACTTCTGATTTCGGACTTCTGATTTCCGACTTCTGATTTCCGATTTCGGACTTCTGATTTCCGAGATCACTATGGTTCCTTAAAAAAGTATTTTACTATTTAAATAGTAAAAGTTACTTTAGTTTCCTTCTTTTTCTTTTGATCATTTTTTTACTTTTATACAAGTATGTACTAAAATATATAATTATGCTTTCTTTATGTCAATACCATTTCTTTTCGGTCTTGTTTGCATAATGAAAGGTGTAATCTAACACTAACTACAAATAATAAATATTTTATTTTTATTAAATTTAATAACTGATTTCTGATTTCCGACTTCGGACTTCTGACTTCCGATTTCCGACTTCTGATTTCCGACTTCGGACTTCGGACTTCTGATTTCCGACTTCGGACTTCTGATTTCGGACTTCCGACTTCCGATTTCGGACTTCTGATTTCCGACTTCCGACTTCTGATTTCCGACTTCGGACTTCTGATTTCCGACTTCGGACTTCTGATTTCGGACTTCAGACTTCCGATTTCGGACTTCTGATTTCGGACTTCGGACTTCTGATTTCGGACTTCGGACTTCTAATTTCGGACTTCGGACTTCTGATTTCGGACTTCGGACTTCTGATTTCGTACCCTGCGAGCAGAGTGTATTTCCTTACCTCAATAAAAATTCGCGAAGGAAAATAACACTCTGCCGAAACCTTGTAATTTCTTATTTGAGCATGCGCGGCGGTTGCTTAGAAACTGATTGATTTCCACACTTCATTACGCGTACTTTCGCTTCCGGTTGACCTCTGGACTTGTGAACACGAGCTCCGCATTTATCCGTATATAACTATGATCCGTTCTTCTTT